CTTCTGCAAGGTCCAACATAACAAGTCATAACCCAACTACATCCACATGAGAAAGCCACCAAGATCCAAAATTTATACTTTCTGGAGTTAGATTGATATGATTAGGACTTGGATCCACAAGCTTCAATCCATGTAATGCTTCCTTAAGGAACTCCTTCTTCCACCATAAGCATAAAACCACACTAAATCACTAAAAAGCTTCAGAATCACTCAAATGGAAGCTAAGGGTCGATTTCTAGGGTTTAGAGGGATGGAGCCTAAAGATATTAGGGTTAGATTATGAGATAAGGAGCTTAAATAGGGTCTAAGACCCTAAAATAGAGTTCTGATCTGACTTGAGTACGCCCAACGTACATATGGTACGCCCAACGTACTCTGGGGAACATTCGCGATCCTCCTAATCATTACGCCCCGCGTACTCCAAAAGTATGCCCAGCGTAATGCCTTCTTCACTAGTACGCCCAGTATACTCGGCTAAGCCTGAAACTACTAAACTTCTGAAGGTCATAACTTCGTTATAAATCAGTTTTTGACGATCTTTATATCCACAGAAAGGTAATGAGAAGCCCTACATTTCTATCGACTTATATCTTCCTAAATACCTTCCATACAAATGTCCATTTTCCACAAAAGCCCGAACTATCATTTTACCGAAATACCCATAGGCTCCAAAACACGAACCGAATACCCGGATCGCTTCTAATACATCACCTGCACCCAAAAGGGCTAGATCTTACCTTACCACGAGCCATAATCCTTATAATGACTGACCTTCGAGCCACCACCTAAGACTAGGAGTCAATTCGGAACAGAGCGTTACATATAATATGTCTAATATTAATGTAAATCAACTATAAAAGCAACGTACTCGTAAAAGTTGTCAGAACTACAAAAAAAACACCAGAAAATGTCTCATACGGACTTAAAAATTCTTCTAGGCATATTTATGATGTTGAATGCTTCCGACATCCTCGGTTGGAACTCTACGTTTCTTAATATGGTTGATATCAAAATGTTCACTGAAAATCAAATAAAAACTATTAAAACGTATTGATTTAGTTATATTAATATCACTACAACTATTATCATTTTCTAGAAAAAACTTACTTGAATCCAAATGAACCAATTTCACCTCATAAACAACTATTATATACTTTCTCTTTATCGCATAGATAGTATTCACAACATGATGGCGTGTTCGGTCGATTATATATAGTTTCATCTTTATTATAACCCCTATTTATAATCAAAATTTTCCAAAGTCATCTAATTTTGTTTTAGTGTAATAATAATAATAATAATAATAATAATAATAATAATAATAATAATAATAATAAACACTTACGGCCCATCTTGGATGATTTTTCAAAAAATATATAAAAATAACGATAATTAAAAAGACAACTTGTTATTATTTTAAAAAGCTTAGAATGCTAAAAATATATATAAGTTATTAAATTTACCGATCATTATTGTTCTCTGTGTCTGATCCTCTACTAAACTTTTTATCGAGGGCACCAATGGAAAAATCGGAAACCATGATATGATAGCATCGGCCAAACGATTAAACCGTGTGTTATTGCTGATCTTAATCATCAAATCGTCATGTAATAAACTGTATTCTTGATACATCGGATACTCAACATAGGTTGGTTCGATTTGGAAATGGTTTAAAAAAAACACACCACCCAATAGATTCACTCCATAAATAAAACGCATTATTTGTTATGGAACAACTGCTAACAATTTCTCTCTCTAATAGAAAATGTAATATTTTATATAAATTATGAAAATGAAAATAAGATATAAATAATTTTTTAAACATACATTTTAATCAATGAGAACAATAAAGAGTTTATTTGCTCTTGAATCCCTCCAAATGAAATATACACGAACGGGTGTCAAAATATACCACAAATGGAAGTTTAGTAGCAATAAAAATGCATCAACGTAAATGTGACCGTTCATTATTCTTAAAAAAAAAAAAAAAAAAAAAAAAAAAAAAAAAAAAAAACAAAAAACTAATTCTAATCTTTCTCATCATTTTAGTGTGCGAACCTTAATGCAATGCCTAATGTTCCTTCTTCTTTAAAACCATTTATAAGTTTTGACCGTTTCTTGTGGAGATATAGTTTCTTGTGGAGATATAGTTAGACTTATGTGCATTTTATAATAACCCAGAGGCACCTATTAATAATCTATGACTTAACATAAAATCATAAAAAAATATATTTGGTAGTTTATAATATAAGATATTTAAATACTCATCCGTCTAATGTTGATGCGTTGTTGCAACTGTAGACATAATATATGAACTTATATTTGTTTTGGCCGTAAAATTTTGTATTCAACTTTAAAAAAATGTAAATCGTACATGAAGGTCTTATGGTGTAACTTGCATCTACCCAAACGCCAAAACTATAAAATAAAAAGTAATATGTATTTATTAAGAGATAACATTAAACAAAAAAATAATCATTTTTGTGGTACTTATTAAAGCTTTTTGACCGGTATTAAGGCTCCTCAACAACAATCGTCTTTTTTTTTTTTTTTTTTTTTTTTGGGAAAATGACTCTTCAGGGTAATTAATTTTTGCGTTTGTACTCATTTGGTCCATTTTTTTTGTATTCAATATACCATGGAACTTGTTGTTGGTGTTTACCATAGCCCTTTTGACCGGCTTTTGACCTGTGATAGCCGGTCAAAGGGTTATGGTGAACACAAACAACAAGTTCGATGGTATATTGAGTATAAGAAAAAGGAAAGAGACCAAATGAGAACAAACGCAACAGTTGGTTACCCTCCTGATTCATTTGCCCTTTACTTATTTACAACAAATCACACATCATTTCTTACTGATATTAATGATTTTATGAGATTCATTCTTGCTTCACTTCAAAACATAACTCACGAAAGGACATTATTCATGCATGTCCAACTTTGTAATGCACTTGAATATTTATTAGGGGAATCTTGACTAAGTAGGCGTATTTCATGACTACATTTACATTTGCAATCAAATGATTTATCGTATCATGGATTCTAGACAAGTCTACAAACGAGTGGAATCACAAGTGCTGTGATTTTTGAGTTTACTTAGCTTTAAGATCGAACTCATGGGATAAGATACCACATCAATATGTACATATTGATGTTGTATCTTATCCCATGAGTTCGATCTTAAAACCAAGTAAACTCAAAAATCATAGCACTTGTGATTCCACTCGTTTGTAAACTTGTCTAGAATCCATGATACGATAAATCATTTGATTGAAAATGTAAATGTAGTCATGAAATGCGTCTGCTTAGTCAAAATTCCCCTAATATATATTCAAGTGCATTACAAAGTTGTACATGTATGAATAATGTTCTTTCGTAGGTTATGTTTTGAAGAGAAGCAAGAATGAATCTCATAAAGTCGTTAATATCAGTAGGAGATGATGTGGGATTTGTTGTAATGTGTAAAGGAAAAATGCATCAGGAGGGTAACCAACTATTGCGTTTGTTCTTATTTGGTCCCTTTCATTTTTTTTGTACTCAATATACCATCGAACATGTTGTTTGTGTTCACCATAACCCTTTGACCGGCTATCACAGGTCAAAAGCCGGTCAAAAGGGTTATTGTAAACACCAACAACAAGTTCGATGGTATATTGAATACAAAAAAAAAATGATCAAATGAATACAAATGCAAAAGTTAATTACCCTCAAAAATCATTTTTTTTTTTTTTTTCATTTGGAGGCACGCTATTTGTTTCCTATATAACTCACGAACTAACATGCTAATGTCTTTTTATAGTATTTTGAATTCCTAATATAAAAGATACAATTTATCAACAAGTTTGAAGTAAAATGGCTTTATATATCCTACAACATAATATTTAACTTAATATTTAGTAATTCAGATCTGACGAAAAATATTATTTATTAATAAAAATGTAACTTGTCAATTAAAAAAAAAAGTTTAATTTTATAAGTTATAATAAATTATTATATCTAAAACCCAAAAAACAATATATATATATATATATATATATATATATATATATATATATATATATATATATATTGTTTTTTTTTTTTTGTTAACTATTTGTGGCATAAAATTTAGCAATGTGTGATTGCCATACGTTCTTTGAATGATGAAATATCCGAAATAAAGTATGTTTTAAAATATATATGAATCAAAGTTCTAAAATACAGTTGATAAAAGGGTAGACAATATACATGTAAAAAGGAAGGATGTCGTAAGAAGGGTCAAGATCCGGGGATAAAAGAACATCCGCAATCAATTTGATAATTAAAAGATATTTATTGGTTAAAAAAAATCCAAAATAAACCAACAATACATATAATCTGAAAAAGTACATACAAATCTATATCATTTAATTTATCAAATCAATACCATGTCAAAACCAAATACATACACACATTATACATATTACATACATGTATTATTTGAAGCATGAAAATAAGAAGATTATCACTTTAGATAGAAGATAAAATAAGATTATCATTTGAAACAAAAGAAGTCTATCTCTTAAAAATGAAGTAACAAATAAAATATTATATACACTTAATGTTACAAAATATAGAAGAAGTTAAAAAGAACCCGAATTTGTGTCAAGAAACGCAATGAATATATTCATTAACAAAAAGTAATAAGATTTTTGTATCTAAATGTAACTAAGATATAAACGAAATGTTATTAAATACAATATCAAAATGAATAAAATATATAAGATGGTTATAAAAGTTGGAGTTTGTTAATCGGTTACAATGACTATTTAAAAAAAATTCACTTAAAAGAAACTTTTGTATTGAAATTTTAAAAAGGTATTCATGATGCTTTTAATTTAATATATTCTTAATTATTTAAAACAGTGAAGTACCATTTTTAATTATTGAAGTTTATATCTTGAATAATTGATACACTTAATTTAAAGTGATATATTTTACACACTTATTCTATTTAACATTTTAAGTTTTTTTATTGAAATTTATACATGTGCATCAACGATTGTTCCATAAATGTGAGGTGTCATTGCTTGATTTGGCATGTATCTCCATGGATGATCCTTTGGAGCTGGCTGAGGATACCAAATATCTCCACTATACCCTAAAACACACCAAAAATAAATCATCTCCACTATACCCTAAAACACACCAAAAATAAATCATCAATTGAGGGTCATGAATTCATGGGACATGAATTAATGTTAGAATATACCTCCAATGTGTCCACTATTGCACCCATCAACAACAAATTTTGTATCCATAATAGCACATCCAACATTGTTATCAATCAAAACCCCTTCTTCAACTTACCAATCCTTTCTTTATCAAACATTCCTTTAAAACATACACATCAATACCCCAAAGTAGTATATAAACATCTTAACTTTGACAAAAGAAAATACCCACCTTGTTTTTTCTGTTAAAGGGGTATTGATGACAATAATGTCACACTTAGGAAGCATCTTATCGAGATCTTCCTCAAATGTTGCACCAATTGGATTCTCCAATTCCGAATCCATCTGAATTTGATCATGATAAAGAAGATTAGATTGTGTGTCCATCTCAACCATTATAAATATAATTGCTGGTATTACAACTTTTTGTAGTAAAAATGAAAAATATATTCTCTCTTCTACAATGAAGTGTGGAAAGTCCAACCAAGATGCCAAAAAGCCCAATAAAATCATTATTAGCTCACTTTGATGGAAACACAACGTAGACACACTTATTACAACATTCCATTTCAGGAACACAGTTATTAGTATTGACATTTCTATAATTTTTGTACCAAGAACAAATCAGAGTTAGATGATGTAATAATTAAATCATCACAAAACTATATTGTTGTTCTTGCATCTATATATCAAATTACAACAGTTTCTATAGTAAACATTTCATAGTGATGTCAAACTAAAGTCAAATGCTACATCTAGAATACTAAAATTATGGTGGATTCAATTAAATCACAAGTAATATGGGAATACAATCAGAAAACTCAAAGTGAGATGAAACACATACAAATATGAGAAGTTGTAAAAACTCACCTTGTTTTATAGCCGCCAACCAACTATATAGATAAATATGATGATTGTTGTAGGTCCAATGATGCAGCCCATTCATATGCCTAATACCTGGTATAGATTACAAACAAGTAAGTCATTAAAATCAAAAAAATGAGCAGATTTTAATTCAAATTAAGATGAAAATGTAAAGAAAAAAAAAATTGAACCTTGCTAGTGAAGACGATTGGGGCGTTTCTTCAAATTTGTTGTTCATGAAGAAATCAAATTGAAACATCATTCCAAAGAAAACTGTGAAAAGAGAGGAAAATAGGGTGATGATTCCATCCCATGTAAGCCATGATAACCAATAAGTTGTGTCATAAAGGCCCATCATACACATTGCTTGTAAGGTAAACACTATAGAATTTGAGATATAACTTCAAATATGTAAACAAAACCTAATATAAAAATGCCAGAGTTGTAGTGATGCTCAAACAGAATAACTCTAACCAAAAAATTACTTGAAACAAAGTAAATGTTTGAAAATCAATGATAATTACCTTGGTAGAAGGAATAGGCCTACCAAGGTTATTAGCCCTAACTCAATTGCAATGCTAAGTGCCCAGAGTTCCAAGTCTAGTGGCACAGTGCTTGCAAAAGTGCCAAGGAATTCCAAAATAATAACTTGAAAAACAACAGTAGACACCATGACACTAACGAATATCCAACTGCTCAACATCCCATGAAACACGTTTATCTTGTGAATGTCCCGACTGTTTACTTCATTAAATACCTACACATACATAGTTATAAAAACATTGTTATAATGTACACATAAATGAAAAATTATGTTTCCATTTTCAATTACCTGACAGAAGACAAAGGTGATGAAGATGAAAGTATTGAGGGTTTCAGTTGAGTCCAAATTGAGATTGGATTTTCCGGCAAAATTCAAAGACGAAAAGGACAGTCATTTGGTAAATAGTTTGGTCAATAATATTTCTCCACATGGTATTTGTAATAAAACATTAGGATTGTTTAACTGGTGGTTTGTTCATGAGTCCATCATTTGGTGGTTCAGTGGCTAGGGCTAATGCACCTAAAGTGTCCATTATTAGATTCACCCATAGCAATTGCATTGTAGTAAGGGGTGCAGACTCTGAAAAATATTCATATCCATGCAACTATGTAAACACAGAACATGTGAGAAAGTAAAGAGTGACTAATAAAGAAGGCGATTGAACAAACCTGTAATGCAGGCTGAAACAAAATTAATCATTAGAGCAACGATGTTGACAGTTAGCTGAAACTGAACAAACTTCTGAATGTTTAAGTAAACTGCCCGTCCCCATTTTGCTACTTTTATGATTGTTTCAAAATCATCATCCAACACGATTACATCAGCTTGTTCTTTTGCAACCTACATATAAGATGACACATGACTTATGATAGACAATAGCTTCTTCTTACCAATATATTATATATGGGATTGTTTTTTCATTAAATTATGATTTTTATACTAAATTGACATGAATATGAGGCATAAACCAACCTTTGTTCCTGTTATACCCATGGCGAATCCGATATCTGATTCATGTAAAGTTGGAGCATCATTTGTCCCATCAACTGTGACTGCAACAACTTCAGACAGACCCCACAAATGCTCTACAAACTTTAACTGGTCTGTTGGTGATAATCTAGCCATTACCTTTAATGTATTTAGCGATTGTAAGTCATTACTTGTCTTGGAGAAGTAACCACCTATTCTCGTGAGTTTCAAAATAAAGGAAAAGAAAAAATAGTTACATTTTGATCTAGCCATCACCACGTTTTTTTGTTTGTACCTGAATTCTCGGTGCTAGTTCATGATTTTTTGCAGTTGATTTAGCTCGAAACACTGGCCCTTCAATGGCTAACCCACCTTCAGTCAGTATACCGCATTCATTGGCAATGGCTCGAGTTGTGTTAATATTATCACCCGTAACCATACACACAGTAATCCCGACTGCTAAACAAATCTCCACCGCTTCCTTAACCTCTGGCCTAAGCGGATCGTTAATACCAACATCCTCAATCAACGTATACCCACAATCATACAACTCAAAAATCAGGGATCGAGAAAAAAGTTATGCGTAGTAAAGACTAAATCACATATGAAAAAATCAAGAATCGGCTTATAATTACCTTCAAGTTCTTCAATGTGCTTGACAATTCGCACTTAGCCATTGCTGATAATTGGAAATTAGGGTTACGATAGAGCCCTCTTAATCTGGTTTGGTCGTGAGGTGTGTGAGTTTGTAATCACAATAAACGGGGACATACCTTGCTGTAGGGATCTCGAATACACGGTAATTTGAAATTAGGGTTTCCATTTCATTCTGATGGTGATCGAGAGAGAGAGAGAGAGAGAAAGAGGCACAAGAAAGAAAGAAAGGCGAGAGAGATCACTGCATCTTTGGTGGGGGAACTCGATAGCCATGGACATTCGGTGGGAGACGTTGGTGGAGATCATTGCATCTTTGGTGGAGACGATGAGAATTGGTTTGATGGGGGCTGTGTTTAGGATATTAGGCTAAGATCTGAGTAGTGTGTAGTGTAATACATATATGATTCGTGTAGTGTAATACGTATAAGATTGGTGATATGCTTAATATTATTGTACATGAGATAATATATGTTGTACCTCTTAATTTTCAAGAAATAGCAATATCCTTAACAATATCGTAAAGATATATATATATATATATATATATATATATATATATATATATATATATATATATATATATATCTTTGCATCAATAGTTTTGTAGTAATTAGGCTTGATTATTAGTTGAATATGCGATTTTTTATAGAGAAAGTTGTAAATTTAAGTAAATACATTAATTACTTTGTGAAAAATAGCTAAAAAAAACCCAGTTACAAAATTAACCCTTAAAATCGCAAATTTATTAACCTTGTCCGCGATTTCGTATTTCCATCTGCAAGCGTACAAGTACCTAAAGCACATATGTGCTTTAGGCACTTGTACGTTCCCAGATGGAATAGTTCATCTGCGATTTTGTTAATTCCGTCTGTGATTTCGTACATTTTTGTATAAAAACATTTTTTTATTCATTTTCACTACCTATTTTAAAGAAACTCTCTCTCTCTCTCTTTGTCCCTCTCTCTCTCTCTGTGCGAGATTTCCTTAGAGACATCATAGACGATTTTTTCAAACCCTATCAATTTCATAGTAAAAAGTGATAATTTTTTGAAAAAGTTTATATATTATGAGTTTGTTTCGTAGTCAAACATTATCAATTTCGTAGTAAAAAATCATAAAATTGTAGGTGAATACGAGAGGAAATCACGGATGAACATAGTCTATCTATGATTTTAGGGTGGAAAATGGGGTAAATACAACGAAAAATAAAACACATGCGAACGAACAAATGGTTAAAGCACGCTTGTGCTTTAACCGCTTATACGTTTGCAGATGTCATGACGAAATCACAGATAGATTGTAACCATTTGCGATTTTAGTGATTAAAAATGCAAATTTTGTTTTGTTTTGTTTTTTTTTTTTTTGTTATTTTCCACAAAATAGTTAGTGTATTTGGGTAAATTTACAATGTTCTCTTTTTTATATTATACATTTATACTAATGAGAAAATCGTTGATAATGATTACCATCAAGAAATAAACTTCAAATAAGAAATAGACCATTAAGAATGATTAAACAGTAAAAAAAATCGAGTTGTCAATTACAAAACTTTCAAAATATCAATTATTTTTTCAAAAAGTTAAATAAAATACTGACTTTAAAACATTTAGAAAATATACAACATTAAGGTCAATAAATAAAATTTGCCAAAAACAGGACCAGCAACACTATCAATGCTACTCACACAATCATTAAACTTAAAGCTATAATATTATAAAGATTACGTTAATAGGCATTTTTAAAATTAGAGCTATTTGTAGTTATTTATAGATTAAAAATGATAAGAAAAATATACTATAAATTTGAATTGTTTTCTCCCTCGAACCAGGCTACTAACACAACATTTAATTTAAAGCAATATTATTGTAAGGATTACGTTAATAGACATTTTTAAAATTAGAGCTATTTGTGGTTATTTATAGATTAAAAATAATAACAAAAATATACTATAAATTTGAATTGTTTTCTCCCCAACTTATATATATATATATATATATATATATATATATATATATATATATATATATATATATATATATATATATATATATATATAACTGTGGACCAAGATTACTTAAAGTAATACTAATTATTGCCTGGATTTATTCCAAATTGAATTCAAAATAAATATGGAGGGTTTTTGCTTCAACCAGGAACAAAGTCCACCCTACCACCAAGGGATCATGGATTAAATTTAAAGCACTCACTGTCTTCTATTTTTCGTACATAATGTCTCTCATATGATGATTAGAGACAATTTAAGGATAATTTTTTTGAATATATATATATATATATATATATATATATATATATATATATATATATATATATATATATATATATATAAGTGAGATCCGTTGAGAATTTATAGTTTCTCGAAAATCCGATAACTAAAGTTGACCCGTTAGATTAAAATTAACTCATTAAGTGCATGATTGTCGTCTTATCAGTCTCATTTAATGTTTAATTTTTTATGTTATTGGAAATATTAATAAAAAAGTTTAAAAATTAACATAATAAATAAAATTTTTGGATTTTTTTAAATAATAATTTTCATTTTCTTGAAATGCAGATTTTTTAACTATTTTTTAAAAACCAGATTTTTATTAAAAAAATTACAATTTTATTAAAAAAAAAAAAAAAACTAGAATTCAGTAAATTTTAAAAGGAAAAAAAATTGGAATATAAAAAAAATCTATAACTTTGTTAACCAAAATAATCATCATTTTAGGTGCATATATACATATTTTTTCAGGTGCATATATGCATATTTCTTATACTATGATATTCGCAATTAAATCATAAAAAATAAATATATTTTTATTACTAATTTATAAACACAATATTCGATACAAAATAAAAATATAAAAAAAATGCTTAAAAATTTCAAAGCATTTTCATGTATTTGTGTTAAGATTTCCACATTTTCTTCAATTTATCACTTTTCACCCCAAAAATATTTTCTATAAACTCTTCCAAATTTACAAGTAAATTAAAATAAATATTGATTAATTCAAGAACACTCACGTATGATTTACATGTGAATCAAATGTGATTCATATGTGAATTACATGTAATTCATATGTGAGTTACATATTATTTATAGGTGAATCTTATGTAATTCATATGTGATTCATTTGTGAAGAACACTCACACAAAATGCATCTGTGTATATAGCCATAATTCATACGTGATTCACTTATGATTTACATGTGATTCACTTGTGATTTACATGTGATTCATATGTAAATTACATGTTATTTACATGTGAATCACATGTAATTCTTCAAGATAGGTTTCCCCAAGGATTAAACTTTATGTGTTAGTAAAATATTATCAAAAAATAGCAGACTATAGAAAAGAAAAAAAATGAATCATACATTTGACATGAAAGTTTTATGGGTGAAAAGGAGGTTGAAGTATTAAACATCCTATGTATCTTCACTAGCTATGTAAATAACATCAATTTGCCATTATAATCTAATCAAATTGTCATTGACCAAGGTAAGAAATATTATAATTCGACAATTTTGTGGTTGATATGATATACAACTACCAATATTTGCTATCTTCGGATAACAATTGTTTAGTTCTTGTATATGTAACATCCATAAAAATCACAACAAATTTAAACTTTTTAAAAACAACCCATAGTTATAAAATCTTTACAAAATCATTGTTTCCAAATTATTTATCTATATCAGAGTATCCCAAAATCATAAAGCCATAATAGAGGATGTGTATGGTCATGCCTCCACCTTCCCACGATCATCAGAAGTACCTGAAACAACAACTAAAAACCGTAATCCAAAGCTTAGTGAGTTCCCCCAAAGTATCAACACACAAACATATAACATATACAACAACATGTCGGGTGCAATTAACCATCGTGTTAGAATACTCCAGGCCCAGTCAACCTCCGGGTACAGTCATCCTCAGTATGGAATACCCTAGGTTGGAATGCCAATATACAACGTGTCCACTCAGTCATCAGATTGGAGTACCCTTAGGTCCTTAGTACGAGTCTGACATGCCAATTAGCCCTCAACTCGTATTTGGAATGCTCCTGAGTCCTCAGTATGAGTCTGGCATGTCAATCGGCCCTTAGCTCATATCTTGAATGCTCTAGGGTTTGTTGGCTACAACACAAAGTATTACAACCTCAAGCCAACATAATATGTCGACATATAACAGATAATAAACATAAGCGGCAAATAGATAATCATACAGACATAAATCACAAGTAGTCCTACAAATCTACTAGTCTATACATATCAGTAACTAGCATATAATCATGCAGATCTATCACATACTCAACTTATCAGTGTATAGCAGGAAGTGCATCTAATAGGTCGGCCTTGGTGCCTTCGACCCGTAAGTTATGTGAGGAAAACTCACCTCATAGTATGAACAATACTGATGAGGTCCCGACTCCGAATCTCAGCTCTAATCATAACCTATACATCCAAATGACCAATTCTTAAACACCAATCAAAGTACCCAAAATAACCATTTATCAAACTTGGTCAAAGTCAAAGTTAAATTGAACAAAATCAACAAGTCAACCCAGCTGAGTCGACATGGAACGCGTATGCGGAGCATACTACAAAGGTATGCGGGGAGTACCTATCACACCCCCAAACCAAGGATGGTGGAAACGTCCGGGGGTGGATGACTTCATGTATAGTATCATAACCACAATTGCAATAGTAATTTAAGCAAACACAACCAATATATATATATATATATATATATATATATATATAATTGAAAGAGTTACATCATTGTATGAATTACATGTTTTTAAATCAATTACAATATGTTGACAAAACATGAAATGTTGACATCTTAACGTCCTGATCCTCAAAATGCACTTTGATACCTGTTTAGTGATTTCCTGAGAATACAAGTTGTTTGAAAATGTGTCAAAACAAAGGTTGGTGAGTTCATAAACTTTTGTTTTCAAACTTTATAAAAGTCTTCCTCTTGTAAATGTCATGTTTGTTTCAGAAAAATCCGATATTTTCCTTAAAATGTTTAATGTAGTCTTATATCCGAAGACCAAAATGTATAAGTAACCTCTCTTACTGACAGAAAATGATATGTGTTTAAATCGACATAAACGCGTTTGAATTAAATGAAATTACCGTAAATTCCTATGTTGGT